ATCCTGTCGCTTCCCTTTATCCCTATCGTCAACGACAAGTTTGGAAGGCGATGGTCCATCTTTGGCGGGAGCTGTATCATGATCCTGGGAGCTCTGATTCAAGGATTCTCGCAGCATGGTGTGTAAAACACCCCGCAATTACTGATCGTGGTAGCTAATACTCCAACAGTTGGCATGTACATCGTCGCCCGCATGATTCTCGGCTTTGGCATCCCGACCTGTATTGTCTCTGGCTCATCCTTGATCGGTGAACTCGGATACCCCAAGGAACGTCCAGTTCTCACCTCTCTGTAAGCCATTTCAATATATGCGGATACCTCCAGAATGCAGCTGACAGCTCTGTAGCTTCAACGTTGCCTACTTTGTTGGACAGATCACCGCAGCGGCCATTTGCTTCGGCACCAACAACATCGCTAGCAACTGGTCCTGGCGCATCCCGTCACTGCTCCAGATTTGCCCTTCTCTCCTGCAAATCAGCTTCGTCTTGTAAGCCAACCACATCCACGTTCCCCCATTCCCCGTAAAGATGCCTAACATCGCGCGTCCCTAGCTTCCTCCCCGAGAGCCCCCGATGGCTCATCACCCAGGACCGCACCGAAGAAGCCAACGCGATCCTCGTAAAGTACCACGCCGAGGGCGACCCCAACTCCGAGTTCGTCAAGGCCGAGATCGCCCAGATGAAGACCGTCATCACCCTCGAGATGGAGGCCTCCAAGCAGTCCTGGATGGACCTCCTTCGCACCGCTGGCATGCGCCGCCGCTGCCTCATCACCTCCATGCTCGGCCTCTTCACTCAATGGAGTGGAAACACTCTCATCTCATACTACTTAGGTACTGCTCTTCAAAAACATCCCGTGGCGGCTTCCGGAGTGTTGTTTTCTAACCACCCATCCAGGCGACCTCCTCGGCATGATCGGCATGAACGACTCCCTCACCAAGCAGAAGATCAACGTCGGCATCGCCTGCTGGTCCCTCGTCTGCGGCGTCACCGTCGCGCTCCTCGTGCGCCGCTTCCGCCGCCGCGTCATGTACCTCGCCTGCACCATCTCGCTGCTGCTGTGCTACATCTCGTGGACCATCTCCATGGAGCGCGCCGTGCACGCCCTCGACAACGACTACAAGAACCAGTCCGCCTCCATCGCGACCATCTTCTTCATCTTCATGTACTCGCCCTGCTACAACATCGGCTACAACGCGCTCACGTACACCTACCTCGTCGAACTGTGGCCATACGCGCTGCGCTCGCGCGGCATCTCCTTCTTCCAGCTCTTCGGCCGCATGGCCGGCTTCTTCACCACCTTTGTCAACCCCATCGGCATCAAGAACGCGAGCTGGCGGTACCTGATCAGCTACTGCTGCTGGCTCGCGTTCGAGGTCGTGTTTGTGTACTTCATGTTCCCCGAGACGGCGGGACGCACGCTCGAGGAGCTGGCTTTCTGTGAGTTTCAGTGTGTGATGAGTGTGATGAAGATGTGGCTGATCGTTCGCTCCCAGTGTTTGAGGACAAGGCTCTTGCTGAGCAGGCCAATGGTGCCGTTGAGAAGGTTATTCACCACGAGGACATGGAGCCGATTGGTGAGCGTAAGACGGCGACTGGTCAGGCCGAGGCTGTGGAGGATGTCACAAACAAGTCTAGGGTCTAAGTGGCTTCACAGAATAACGGTTCTCAACAAGCGAAGGAGGCAGCATGTGTATAGGTTGATAATAGCTACAAGTAATTGAGTCATTGACTTGCGAGAAGCATGTTTGCTCATTCGGTGCACACACGTCAGGATGTCAGACGGACTTATGAAACTTAAGAATCTCGTTCGGACATCCAGTTATGTGGACGGCCTCTTGGAGGTACCTTTGGAACGTACTCTTTTCAGTGAATTGAGGCGAGCTGCATGATTCTTTGCCCCATCGAAGATGCTTAGATTAGAGGCGACTGTCTGGCATGCCGACAGCAACACCTCTCCGTGGCGGGTCTTCGTTCGGGGAGGTGGGGCCGTGGATTCGGAGCCGGCTGCGACATCAACCATGAGTTTTGCTCGGCGAGGTCGAGCAGAAGGCGCTCGGGACAAGGCACGTCACATTGAGCACAACTATATTCGATCAGATTTGCGCAAAACAATTGATTGAGAGAAGCGAGGAAAAGTCTTGGTCGGCGTGGCATGGCCACTATCCAACGCACACAAGGGTCTCAACAGACAACAAAAAAAGATATCTCTCTCGCCCGGAATCGAACCAGGGGCACCACCGCGACAAGGTGGCATGTTACCATTACACCACGAGAGACTTCATTGCTTGTTGTTGAAAGATTAGACGACCAGAGAAGACTATGTAGGTAGGCTCGGGGAGTGACTCATTGTGGCAAGTGACTCGAAAGGACCACAAGGTAGGTCATGATTGCTGCCTTCCAGCCTTGTTCAGTAAGCTTACATGTGCAATCTACCTCTTGGCTCTTGTGAATGTGAACCTCGCTGAGTCACTGTTAAGAAATGTGAGCGTGGTCCCCAAGTCTACATAGCAATCTGCGGGCTACCTTCTGTGCAAAGTAGACGCGATTTCGAATGATCAACGCACCAAAAGCGTACACCTCCTATAGATGGCTATGTGATGTTTGATTGATCGTGAGATACAAGTACAGATATAGAGATTAAGCGTATGTAATTTACATTCCATGCTCGAACAATAAGAGTTTCGTGTAGCGAATACAGCTCCTATTCAGACCGTGTTCTATCAGGGAATACATTTGCTGAGTACAGCCTTTACGCAAATGAAATGTCATCACCCCCTCATCAGACGCAGGTGCAAAAAAAAGATTTTCTCTCCCGCCCGGAATCGAACCAGGGGCGCGTCCGCGACAAGAACGCATGTTTCCACTACACCACGAGAGACTGTTAATTCTTGTTGTTGGGATCAAGGTAGAAAGAAAGGTCTATGTAGTGAGTCACGGTTACCAGAGGAAAGGAAGGGACGAACGGGTTGATCATCATGGTAGGTCAGCTATGCTGAAGCCAGTCACCATCACAGCACGTCACATCAGACACGCCTAGGTAGAATGGGGATATGGAATGGTATTGAGGTGAGAAGTTGAATGGTACATTTGGCAGGGAGCACGTAAGTCGGCAGACGGGGCGTTTCATGATACAGCCTCTAACCCCACATTATCGCCCTGGAGAAGAGGTGAGTTGCCATCACTGGTGTTGATCTGGAGGGCCCTCGAGTCGAGCTCTTCAATGTCCACAAGGATTTCGACGTCTTGATCTTGACTATTCGCTTCAGCGGATTGGGCAGCCAGATTCTTCTCACCAACGCCGCCAACGCCGCGAGCGTGAGACGATTCGTCCCCTGCATCATTGCCACCGTCGCGTCTCCCAAGGGCGCCCTGACACTGCGCCGGCTGGTGAGGACCTCCTAACAGAGCGTATGTTCCGAATCTTGCGCTAACTTTGGTTCCTGGGTATGGAAGGAGAAGGCACTTCTCCGCGCAAAAAAGATCTCCCTCTCGTACACAGTCATCGACATCGGCTGGTGGTACCAACCCAGCATCCCGCGCCTCCCTTCTGGGCGCATCGACTCCGCTACGCCCTTGCTGGTCAGTTTAATAGCCGGAAATGGCAACACTCCCACTGCGCTAACGGACGTGAGAGACCTTAGAAGGTTCACTGCGCGCATAATCACCGATTCTCGTACCATCAACAAAATGGTCCTTGTCTACGGCGCCTTTCTCTCCCAGAGTCAGGTTTTCGACATGCTCGACAAGACGAGTGGCGAAACTACGAAGCGGGAATATGTGAGCGTCTCTCGGCAGGAACTTGGCAGCCTGACAATTGACTGACCTGCTTTACCTTCACAGATGTCTGCTGAGGCTGTGGAAGCTGCTCTTGCTGAATCTCTGACAGTGGGTGCCATTAAGGAAAATGCTTTTGACCACAGGATGAAGATCTTTTACGAGTACTGGTACTCGATGGGCGTGCGAGGAGACAATACCCCAGAGTATGCCGAGTTCCTCGGGTATATTGACGGGACTAAGCTGTACTCAGATCTAAGTCCATCACCTTTGAGACTTTCCTTGGAGAATTTCTTGATGGCAAATCGGTTTCAGTTTATGACAGCCTCAAGGATGATTTGCAATAGGATATCAAAAAGTCTCAGGCCTACGCCTAGCGCCATATGGATGACTGGAATGGAGCAAAGACAAGCACATGGAGATGAATTGTTCTTTGATGGGACCAGGATGCCGAAATGTCATTTGGCTTGGTGATCTTTCGGCGCGATTTGGTAACCTTCTACGGTGCGGCGATGTGCAGCATGCTATGTAAGACGCAAAATTGACAACCATATAAGGACTTGAAGTTGCTCAGACTCTTCGAATGGAATTCTCTTCACAATTACCCGAAACGTCTTTTCGCTTTTCATTGAGGGCGTAGAAGACTGCTCCGCTAAGCCTTGAGGTGGACTTGCTATGTTTTTAACTCATCAATAGAAATGGGTGATTAAGCATCCCTACTCCCAATTATGTGGATTAAACTGCTGATTATGAGGCGTGCTCGTCAGACAGGTCACTGCAGCGAACCTCTGATAGTATGCCAGATGAATAGAGGATTCCGCCTTGGGTGACAAGTCTGACCGCTGTGGGACACCATTGCTTCCATTGACAAGGATTTCATTGGCTGTCGCCATGGAGCTGAACGCCCGAATACTTGCGATCGAATGAGGATGACTGGCTGAGATCGCTAAGCAATGCACCGCCTACCCCTCACTGCTGTGCCTCGTATTTTGCATATTGTTCAGCCTACGTATGACAAGGCACTGCCTCGCTTGGAAATGGATTATGGGACTCATGATCGAGACAACATATATCCAGGTTGCGTCACCAGAGCCCTACTGCTATTTGCCATCACCTGAGACGGGTTCTACAGCCTCTTTTGCCCCCTTTATGTTATGAATTTATTGGCTCATCTCCTCCCCTTTGATTACTGCCCAGCAATCGGTCTCGATCCAGATATCACAAAATGCTCGGGCGGCAAGCATCGCGTGGCCTGCCGAAACGTACCTCCAAGCAGGTACCGGCCGGAATAGAATACTCGAAATTTTCCGACGAAGAGAGCTCAAATGAAGAAACCAGTCGGAACAGCGCGCTCACATTCTGGCTATCTCAAGCCCAAAAGCTCGAACCTCGACGTGAGCTTTTCTCGAGCGTCAGCGACTCGAACGACTACGACAATTACGTCTCAGAGCTCAAGAGCGCGATTCATAAAGCTGCCAGTGACAGCAAAGTATCCAGGTTTTCCCGAAAGATGAAGCCAATTCATCAGCTTGCAAGCTCCATTGCGCCAATCATGAGCAGTGCCAGTCAACTCAACCCCATGCCTGCGTCTCTGGTCCTGGGGGGAATTACCTGCATTCTGTCACTCACGACTCGCATGGATGACTTTCAAAGCAAGCTGCTGGAGACTCTGGAGTGGATGGGCGACGAAGTGAACCTTGTCAATCAGTATCGAAAAGAAAATATCTTCGATGAAGATCCGTCTGTGAAGACTTGTGAGATCAATCTGGCTGCTGATATTCTCAAGTTTTGCGTCAAGGTCACTGAGCTCTTCTACGATGATTTAGGAGCCAGGAAGAACAGCATGGTACTCGCCTTGAAAGGTCTTTGTAAAGACTTCGATGCCCGCTTCGGCGATGTGAAGACCGACTTCAAACTGCATTTAGCTGCGTTGGAGAAACGAAGAGATCTTCTTAGTGCCCACAGGATGAAATCAATGCATTCGGAAGTTGAAGATATTGGCCAACTTCTCAGGCACGAGCACGAGGAAAGGGATGTTAGGGAGAAGACGGGAATCGAAATGGAAGTAAACTTACGGAACGGTAATCTAGACGTGGTCCCATTGAGTTCTGAACGGATTTGCTGACTTCTTCTAGAAGAAAGACGTCGCCGCTTTTTGAATTGGCTACCGTCCTTGAATTTCGGAGAGATACAAGAAAACAATTTCGAACGACGAGTTCCCGGTTCTGGCACCTGGCTCCTAGACCATCCAGAGTTTCGAGCGTGGAAGAAAAGCTCTCAGTCAGCCTTACTTTGGGTTCACGGAAAAGCTGGTTCAGGAAAGTCGCATCTGGCAGCTCGTGTCATCAATGAGCTCGACCCCTCAGGATCCACAGGGAAGGACACGGCCCTGGCTTACGCCTACTGCACCACCACTCAGACAAAAACGAGGATGACATTGAATAGTCTCCTTGGGACTCTTCTTTCTCAGTTGTACAAGAGTCTTCCCTTGTCATCTGGCATAGAAACTTTGCTGTCTCGCGCGGATGAGGCTAGCAAAGACGAGCCTAAAAGGAGTGAAATGAAAGAGGGCATTAAATTGGTGGCTTCTCGCCTATCCTCGGCCTTCATCATTATTGATGGTCTGGATGAGTGCAATCAGTTCCCAGACCGTCAATTCGAAGACTTTTGCAAGTTCCTCGCCGGTCTTGCCGAGTCCGAGGACTCTAGAGGCTCTATTAGGGTACTTGTTTTTAGTCGCCCCGACTACAAGGAGATCAGTCGTTCCTTTGACACCTTCCCGAAAGTACAGGTAGACAACGGCGCAAACGATGACGATATCAAGGCGTACATATCTCGGAAGGTTGACGAAATCAACACTGATCCGTCTCCCGAGGAGCGATTAGGATTCGAGGATGTCAAAAGCTTGATGTTCGACAATGCGGCGGGGCTGTTCCTGTGGGTACACTTCAAAGCGAAATACTTCAAAGAAATCGGATGCGTCGAGGACATCAAAGACGCCCTGCAGGACACTACCGAAGGATTGGACGATCTTTATGGCGAGGAAATCAAGAAGATTTTAAACCATCCATCGCGGTTCGTCCGCGACCGAGCTTTACGGGCTTTGTTGTGGGTGACAAACTCCTATCGGCCGCTTACGAAGCTCGAATTGTTGGAGGCTTTATCTGTGAAGCCAGGAAAAAGCAGCATCAACCGTTGTCAGCGTCTTTCTAAGGATATCTCAATTAGCACGGAGTGTGCTGACCTTGTCAATGAGGTCAACGGGGTGTACCGCCTTCGACATGCGTCCTTGAAGGACTTTCTGTCATCACAACTTCCGATCCTGCTTTCTTACGGGGATCTACAACAACAAGCTCACTCAATTCTTGCTGAGGCATGTCTGACGTACATCAATTATGAAGACTTAAACGCCGTCAATATCTTGTCGCCAGACAGCTTGACCGATCTTAAAGCTCAATATCCTTTGCTTGACTATGCGGCAAACTTCTGGGGTGATCACTTTCTGGACGGTGAAGGAAGACGCAAGGAAGTCTTGCACAACTTGCTGATTGGACTGCTGGACAAGGTGGCTGCCATGAGACTCACAATCCAAATTCTTGAGTTTAGAGCCTTTCGGGACAATTTGTGGTCTCTTGGAAACCCTACACCTCTTCACTTATTGGCCATCTTCAATCTCGTTGAAGAAGCAAAGGACATGCCGGGCCTGAAGACTTACCTCTTCAGCCAAGACGAGTTCGACCATACTCCGATTGAGTATTCAGTTCTTTGGCGACGAAGGCAGATGACGCGCTGGTTACTTGACGAACATCTAAAGAAACACCAGAACCGACGCCCTTTTGATTCGGAAGTCTTTGAGTCATGCAAAGCTTGGCTACTTCACAGTGCCGCGGAAGAAAATTGGGCTGATATCGTCGAAGACCTCGTGCTTTTAGGATTTGATCCCAACATCTGCGATCTTTCTGGAGAGTCGCCAGTACATGCAGCAGCCAAGGCAGGGGCCAATCAGTCTCTTGGAAGTTTACTCAAAATGGGCGGCTCACCAAATCAGACTTCTCGAGAACTCCATACTCCTCTCACCCTTGCAGCCTTTCATATGAATTCCAGAGGAGTCGATATTCTTCTCGAAGCTGGGGCTGAAGTCAACCAGCCTGGGAAAAATCAGGAGAATGCTCTTCACCACGCCGCTCAACACGGACTTGTTGATATGGCACTTAGCCTTCTGAATCACGGAGTGGATTGCAACGTGGTATGCTCTACTGCTTCGTACTTCTATGGCCAGACCCCCTTGCATTACGCTACAAGAGCAAATATGCCCAGCGTGGTTAGGATTCTCATCCAAAACGGAGCAAATTTGGAGTCAAGGACTTCATACGGGGATACTGCCGTTTTGTTGGCCTGCTATTTGGGTCATATCAAAGTGCTAGAAATTCTTGCCCAAAATGGTGCCAAAGTCTCTGCTCGTAACATGAAAGACAAGTCAACCGCACTTCATATAGCTTCAAGAAGTGGGAATCTGGCCCTTATGAAGGTGGTTGTTGCATCTACTACTCAAGAAAGCCTTCTTGATACTATCGACAAAAACGGGAACACCCCTCTTCTGGCAGCGTTATACGAGAAACAAGAAGCCGCAGGCCAACTGCTTCTCAAGTATGGAGCCCAGCCTCACGTAACCAACACTAGTATGTCCACGCCATTACATATCGCGATTGATAATGGGTGCATAGAAGTAGCGAGAATTCTTCTCAAGGATCACAAAGCAGACCCTCAGACACCTGGATTTCATGGGAAAACTTCAGTACATTATATCGCTGAGCATGGCATAACGGAGCTGTTGTCTTTGATCCCAGTTCCTAATGAAATATGCGTAATGGAAGACGATGAGGGATTTACACCAGCTCACTATGCTGCTGCTTTAAACCGTTACGACTTTATCAATGGCTTGATCGGGTTGTGGCCTAGTACCGATGTCAGGGTCAAAAGTACTGATGGTTTGACGCCTCTTCACGTAGCAGCCCGGAATGGCGCGACTGAAACTGCCAAGATGCTTATCGAACTCGACTCATTATCTCACAAAGTTCAAGACAAGCATTCGAGACTACCACTCCACCTGGCTGCCATATTTGGACATACACAATGTGTGGCCTTGCTATGTACACCCGAGACGATCGACTGTCAGGATGTCGATGGTGCAACCCCCCTGTGGCTTGCATCCAAAACCGGCCACCGAAGTGTTGTTGAGTACCTGATTGGCGGTGGTGCGGATGTCAACAAAACCAGTGCTGTCGGTGGACTGCCGGCTTTTGCTGCTTTGTCAAATTTGCATATCCCTACTGCAAATCTACTCTTGGACAATGGAAGCATTGTAGACAAGGGCGATAATCTCGGTGTCACTATGTTTCATCTCGCCGTTACTACCGGGGATGAAAGGCTTGTTCATCGACTTTTGGGCCGTCTGAAAGATGATGCCAGGCGTGCTTGGATCCTCTCTGTGAGCAGTGAGGGGTGGGATGCCATGTCTCATGCAGCTGAGGGTGGTCATGCAAATATGGTCAATCTTCTCCATAATCTTGGAATTTCTGTTGATGGATCAGGGTTAGGTGACTTCAGCCCTTTGTGCCAGGCTGCGGGAAAGGGTTTCACAGACTTCGTGGGGGCAGCCTTGGGGAAGGGTGCTCGTACACGTAATCTGGACCATCGCTGGGACAAGCGACTACAACGAGACGCCCTTATACACGCAATCGTGAACCGAAAAGCCAGGACCACCAAGCTCCTGCTCGACGGTGGCTCTGATCCTACGGAAACAGATTGCTACGGTCTCTGTGCTATCGATTACGCTGCAAAGCACCCCAACTTAGCACATATCCTCAGACCCTGGCTTCATCGTTACATTCCCTCAGACCCATCCGTCAAGGTCCGGAAGCAAAGAAAGACTATCGTAAACTTCGCAGAACAAGTAGTTTTGCAAAGTTTCGAAATGATGAGTATGAGGGGCCACAGGTACCGGGAGTTGACTGGCCTGTCCTCAAGCCTAGTCTTGCTCAATACCGCTGAAAGCATGGAACAGTATAAGCTCTGCAGAACCGAGCTTATAGAGCACTATCTGGCCGGTTGGTTATATTGCGATGGTTGTCAGCAAAAGATCACGGTGCCCTCATATTCCTGCACTGTTTGTATCGATTTGGATCTTTGTCAGGCGTGCTATCAAGACTATTGCTCCGCCGAACCTCCTCAAACGGTTCCGGGCCAGATCGACGCCTTGTGGGATCTCGAGGAGACTGTTCATCCTGTTCTTCGCATAGCCGAGGTTTTCCGCATGTATGGCGCCAGTCTGCTGGTAGACTGCCTGAGGCCTATCGATGAAGTTGCCAAAGAGTGGTTACACTCCACAATTTCGGCATACTCACGCTGGTCCAAAACCTTTTCATCACGGGCAAGCCCAGCCAACGAAAGAATCCTAGGCTGGAGGTTTGTCAACCTACTCAACAATGCACGAAGCATTATACGGCATAGCCCAAACAAAGACTCTTTCGGAAGTTCAGTCTCAGCTCAACAATTGGCTCTCTTGCAAAGGGGACTGACCTCGATATACGCAATATTCAATCCTCGACGCGAGTTCATTAGATTCGCTTGCAAAAAGCATTCCTTTTTGGAAATAATTCCCCGCAAAGAGTTTCCCGCCAAATACCGAGAATATTTCGACTTGGACGGAAGATTGAAGTCTTCGTTCTTCCAGGACCTGATAAAACAGTATTCTGATCTCACCCCCGATGAAAAACATGACAACTGCGATCAATTTAATAGCGTTAAATATAATGAAGTGATTGCTACTGAAGAGGCGGCCAGTATACCCCCACAGCAAGTAAACAGTGAAAAGATTCCAGAAGAAAGTAAGAAGAAGCTTCAGCTGATTCGTCAAAGGCTGTTGACAAGAATGGAAGGAAGAAACAATTGCAAGCCTTCGAATGGTGAGATTGATGGTTTGGCTACGTCCGTAGACCTGCAGGAGATTTCGTGGAAGCTGGCTCACGCCATGCTTGGAATACCATGCGTGGGGTCGTTTGCTGATGCTTTGGATTTCAGTTAGTGTTTCAGAAAACAACATTTTTGGAGTTTTCATGGATGGAATGTAACATGTTCTTACTTTGAACCTATTTGGTGTTTTACTTTTCGACTATCCTGTTGAATTATTTCCATCCGTACCCTGTTCACTAGATGAGGCTTGAAAATCAGAATGCAGTGTCACAAAGTGGTATCATTCCGTAACGTCTTTGTATGATGCTATGAAAAGTCATTGACCGTCTGCTTGATATCGGTCTTGACGTGGATATGGCGTCCAAACTCGCTGTCATTTTCGCTGTGCATGCTTCCGCTTCCCTCGCCTCCCACTGCCTGACTCTGCAAAGCAATCTCATCATCCAGCCTCAACCTGGGCCGTGTACTTCGAGTGCCCTTTGAGCCTAGTGGGTAAATAGATCCCTTGTCGCCTGAGCTACTGGATTTCATGTTCCTGCCTCTGATGGCCCGGAGCAATGGCTTGAAACTAGGAAGACAGGCAGAAAAGATGCCCACAGACGGCTCAACCGATGACCAAATCGCTACTGGACCCATCATCCATGTTATATCGGTGGCCGTGGAGAAGACTTTGAGATAGTGCACACGCACCGCACTAGCTATGCAGACACTACAAAGATGGTCAGCACGGGGCGAATACCAAAGATTTTGTTACCAGTTACTTACAATCCTCCTAGGCCAAGAATGCCGCACACTGCAATTTTCTTGTCCTTGCTCATTTGAAGCTTAAGGATCTCGGGAACCGGAATCGCCAACAGTATGACATCCGTGATCAGGTTGATGATAGCCAGAATAAAGAAGAAGTGGCCAACGTCCAGACACGTGCCTGTAGTGCCCTTGAACTGAGTCCAATAGTGCGACAGTGGGTTGCAGCAGAACCCCATGGTGATCATGAAGTAGATAGGGTATGAGCCGACGAGAAAGGCTCCAATCCAAATGGAGAAGCGGAATGACAGTAGGTTGCCCATGAAGACACGCCAGTAGAAGAGGAGGATCGATATCTTGGTAGATAGAACGGCGGTGCAGAAGATGAAGCTATAGATATAGAGCAGCTGTAGCTGTTAGTATGAATTCATGATTGTGACGTCTTTTGGAACTTGCCTTTGAAGTTTGAACTAGATCATCCACGCTCAGAGCCCAGACATGGCGACCAGCCCCAGCCTGGCCAACTGCAGTCTTTTAGTTTAAAATCCAAGTTTAACTACGATTACTATGAGAGGAAACATTGGACTTACTGGCTATTACCATTCCTGCCGTTGCTGCGACAAGTACCCAAGCCACGACGATGGCGTAGTCATCGAGGCTTAGACCAGGTCCATACTTGCTGCGAGCGACCAGGCGACCGGCAACAGAAAGAGCAGCAATGATGAGGAGAACAATCACAATGGCATTGTTCTTCGTGGCCTGGCTCTCGGTCAGGTCAACGCCATCAGGAGGCGGCCCAAAGGCTGCCTCAATGAAGGGGTCTACAGCCATTGTTGACAGTGGGTTTGTGAAAGGTGTGAGTTATCGAGGCTGCATGTTCAAACCTTTCCCAACGACAGCAGAAATTCAGACAGGAGAGGCATGCTTACATGAATGATTAGCGAATTGCACAGATTTCAACAGCCATTGGCTCCGGCCAAAGCAAAATCCCAGTGAGCGGCCTCATACATGCATTGAGGTACGCGAGTGAATCGGCCAGGAACAAAACTCGCCCATGATCGCCATTCTAGGTGTCTGACGAGTCATTTATGCAGCCAGAAGGAGCCCGTCTCCAAAGTTCCTCGTTTCCGGAGCAGTTTCCTACTGAAGGAAAGTGAAGCGTTGCAATTCTTTAGTCGAATCCAACCAACGCAAGCGAACGAGGGCCCTCGTCACTTTAGTGGCTCTTGTGGAGCCGAACCAAACGAGGCGTTGGTGCTCACATCAACCAACATCGCGCAGTGAAGACAGACCATTGTTGATTGATCTGCCCTCCGGGAAGTGACCTAAGGACTACCCGAGTGGAACCCTTCAAGGGCACCTGGCTTGGCGTTGAACTCTCATAAGAGGGCGGCCGCCGAAGGTGTATAAACAAGCCCGATGCCGTTCCATTTCATTTTCGCTAAGGTGACTACGAAAGATCCTTTCTATCTAGACTTAAACACACAAAAGAAAATCATCAAAGCAATGGGGTCTGTGCCAGATGTCCACCTTCTCTCGGGGATCCCCCAACTTACCCCCTTGGAACAGATCAGCCCAAGGGGGTGGGTCCGCTATCTGTTTCCATTTCAACTCCCACAGGACTATGATCCTGAAGCCATCACGGACATCTTTCGCAGAAGCCTGCAAGCAACCAAGGATCGCTTCCCGACGTTGGCGTGCGAGGCTGTTCCTGATCCTGACGCAAGACAAGCCAACGCGCTCAAACTTCAAAAGATCACCGACCACGAGATCGAGCCCGTCATTGTCAATGATTTGCGCCATTCGGAAACATTCACAGCCTCGTTTGAGGAGCTCAAGGCTAAGCATTTTCCAGTCTCGAGCTTCTCAGCTGAAGTTTTCACCCGCTGCCCCATTTGGCCCGCCCCTGGACAGCGGGTGCCCATTACAATTGTGCAAGCCAATTTCATCCGAGGGGGCCTGATTCTCAACTGGAATTTGTTTCACCTTGTTGGTGATGGACAAGCATTTTACAACTGGATTCGAGTCTGGGCTGAGGAGACTCGCCGAGCTCAAAATCTTGAAATCCTGGATCCAGTTCGCTATCCTGACCGTATCTACACGGACCGCCAAATTGCATACGACTCGCCACAGACTCTTCCCAAAGGCAAAGCCGGACGTCTTGAAGACCATCCCGAGTACACCATTGTCACGGATCCTGCAACCCAGCTGGCGAAGATTGCGACAACGGATGGTCATGTCGGACAGATTTTCTACTTATCGAAGGATTCGCTCGAACGACTGAAGCGGGATGCCCAACCCAAGAAGAATGACGGGTCTTTCGTGTCCACCAATGACGCGCTCTCAGCCCTGATCTGGCGAAGCATCATGGCAGCTCAGTTTGACGTGGCCCAGCTAGATGGCAGCGAAAATTCCGTTTACAATATTGCCATCGATGGTCGAGGACGAAGCCAGCCGCCGATTCACCCGGAAGCCATGGGAAGCTTCCTCGGCTTTATTCAAGTCGAGCTTCCCATCAAGAAGATTCTCGAGGCCGACAACATTGCGGCCTTGTCCCTCTTGATTCGCAAGGCCATCATTGCAATGGACAAGGATTTCTCGGGCTCGTTCATCAACGATGTCGTCCAGCTGGTGAACAATCAGAGCGACCTCGGCGCTCTGATCCCAACGTCATTCCTGGATGTGCCTGGCCAAAACTGCGCGCAGACGTCGTGGGAAAAGTTCAAGATGTACGATCTTGATTGGGGTCATGCTCTGGGTGGCAAGATTGCGGCTATCCGCTCACCTAGCTGTGGTATCCTTAACGGCATGCAGATTATGTATCCTCAACACCCCGATGGTGGCCGGGAGATGCTTGTAGGTATTTATGAGGATTGCTTGGAGAAGCTTTGCAACGATCCGATCTGGACTAGATATGCCGAGCGTCGATAGCAATTTCATGGCTCATGAAATATGATTTACAGCCCTTAAGTGACGTTCTTGAACAGAGGTTCCTGCTAAGTCTTCTCAGTTTATACTACCTAGTTTTGCATAAACATCCCTGATTTACTGCCCTTTCACAATTCAGAAGAGCTTGATGAAACACCCAGTCCGCCGAACTTTCCAGCGGTATCAGAATTCGATGCCTGCGCAGGGGCATTCAGAAGACCACAAGGAAACAGTGGACTGCTTCAGTGGGATCCACGTTTCTCAAACGAAATTGGTGATTACGAAAAGCTGGGGAGACCTGCGGCTTCTTGGAACGGACGAACCTATTAACGCACCAATCAAGTGTACTCCCAATCATCTGGAACTGGCGCCGGAGAACGTAGCTGAAATCAGAAGGTCGTTCCACACTCTGTGTGACAATGTGTTGGCGCTAGAGTGGACCATGAAGTTGGGACCCATTCAATTTCATGTTACGTAGTGGCAAGTCGTTGCCTTTCCGCCACGGCCCGTAGCGTACCTTAAACCATCTGTTGTTGAGCCTGGTGGGTGGTTCAATACTTGTATTGGAGAGTGATACATACTCTTGGATATCGCTTCGTAAGCCCTCATGGCCACCTGTCTCTAAGTCTTTGCAGCAGTGTAGATGGTCTCATCGCACTGGCAGTGGACTGAACCAGCATCACAGTGGATCCAAAAAGTTCTCGTGTTGCTTTGAGAGCAAACCCTTGTAAAACGGTGGAGAGAGGTGATAAACCCGGCCAGGGGCTGAGAGACATCACAGGCCCATCAGCGAGGGCTGTTGGGGCCACGACGATATCGGCACAACTTTAGCCGAGGCCGAGTCTAGGCAGACGAACCGACGAGGAAAACTACGAGCAGATGGTCAGAACAACACTCATGAATATTGACACAGATTTCCAAGAACCAGAACCGGGGGGAGGGGGAACAGAAGGAGTATCAGGCAGGCTGTGTGCGCCTGCGGAGAGCAACTTTCCATCCAGGAATAATATTGACTTTTTACGCTTGCAAAACTCAACAGATGGGCTCCTCTGGGCAGTCAACTCAATACGTCAAACTTGGCTGCGAAAACTGATGTGCTGACGAAATTCCTTGAAAGAGACGTTTCGCTGAAAGGGCTTCATCAGTTGACCACGACCTGAAGACATTGCGTCGAGTTGATCTTCGGCAATGTTTGAGTTTCATGTCAAATTAAGGTCGCCCGGCTCATCATCCAAGTCCATTGGCAAAAAGTCAAAGTGGCACTTTGAAGACAGCGACAGAAGAATGATGATGATACAACAGAAGAAGAGCCACTCTCATAGCACTAGAAACCCCATATTGAGAGCTTGGCCAAAGAGGAAGGTTTTGGTTCAATCAAACCTGCCCTGGGGAAGACTTACATATCTCCTATTTAGTCTTTGACGCAGCTGATATTTGTGCAATATGTGTGTGGGTTAGACCAGAAACATATGGTAGGCGTTTTAAGAAAAGGACTGACGGCGACAGCATGCCTAACGCTGATTATGAAAACTCTACTTTGGTATCAGGGGATAAATATCTGAATCAGCATGTCCGTAATTGTAGTGATATGTTTAATTACTAATTATATTTTAACTGCAGAACGCCTTTCTGTAACGTTTTATAAAGAAGCTGCAGTTGCAGGTGCTCTAGGGTGATGCTTAGATACCCTGGGTGCTGTGTATATTTTGCACTCCTCTTTAGGTTAAGGCGTAACTCTAAGCTATCTAGTTTTAAATACTAGTAACTAGCGCTGTGTTACGGTTAGCTATCTAATAGTAGGGTCTACTAATAGAAGCTAGGGATTAATACGTTCTAATAGTATACTAAGTTATAGTTTAGGTTAAAAGTTATAAGTTATAGTAGATTAGGTTTTTAGAAACTAAAGTACTTAGTTTTAAGCTTAATAAGTAATTTATAGTAAAAGTAAACTAAGAATATCTTAAAAATAAATATTAAGTTAATTATTAAAAAGTTATAAGAGTTTAACTTTAAACTAAGCTTAAGTTATATTATATATAAGTCCTAAATAGTATTTTTTATTTACTTAGGAGTAATTACTTAGGTATATAAAGTAATTATAATTAGTTAGTAATACTAACTAATTACTAAATATCTTATTTAATATTTTACTAATTATTTCTTTATTTTATTATTATATAACTTATATTATAGTTTTTTTATATTAAGTAAATTCTTATTATTTTTATAATCTTATAGTATAAATATCTTATTTTAGCTACTTAATCCTTAAATAAGTTATTTAGCTATTATCTTTATTTATAAGTTATAATATTAAGTTCCCTTTCTAAAGGTTTTATTCTTAAGATTTAATATAAATAAGTTATTAATCTTAAGTTAGAGATCTATTAATTATACTTTTTAATTTACTTATAATATTAATACTATATTAAGTTATATTTAAAAATTAAAATTAAAATTTACTTCTACTTTTTATTATTATAATTATATATTATATATTATTAAGTTTAGCTTTATTATTAATATACTTTATTCTTATTATTATTTTATAAAGAAATATTATAAGTTTCTTCTAAGTAGTAGAAAGGAGTAGAGAACTTAGAATTTTTTAGTAATTTTAACTTAAAGGAAAAGGGGTAGATAGGCGTTTTTATAAGCGTTAAGCGTTATTATAAAAAGAAAAAGGTTATATAAGTAAATAGAAGCTTAGTTAGTTTATAATAAAAAAAAACTAAATAAATAAATAAGAAATATACTTATTTTTATATAAATTCCTATTTTTTTCTTAATAACTTTAGTAATTACTCTTTTAGAAAAGTTTTTAGGATTTTTTAGCTTAGTTTATAGAAAAAGTTTATTAATTTTTATTTTTTAAAAACTAAATAAATATAAGTGTTTTTAAG